ATAAGGATATAATTTCAAATATATATATATATATAATAAAAATAAGATATAAAAGAGCGACAGTGATAAAAACACACATGGGTAAATATTTATAATATATTATATAGTTATAAGTTATATTTATAGAGTAAAAGAAATTGAGTGTAGGCCCAAGGCCCATTCCCATCCCTATTAACCTCCATCTAACAACACATAATAGAGTCACAATTATTTTCCCCCACAGCAGCACAAAGCGAGAGCACGAGCGTACGAATATAGAGCTGGAAAAATGGGCGAACTCAACCCTTATGAGCCTAGCCCTTAAGGGCCCGACCTATAAGGGCCTGAGCCCTTAAGCCTGATTTCTCATTTTTCACTCCTTTTTTGAAGCCCAGCCTTAAGCCTTATAATGAAAAAAGAAATTAAATTAATTAAAATAAAATTAATCACTATAAATTAATTAAAATATTCTAAAATTTTAAAAAAATAAAAAGTCTCATAATATTTTAAAAATTAAATAACATACATTTAGAAGTCTAGTAAGAAAATTTAAATCTTAGTTAAAAAATAATTCATTTTTTATAAATATGCAAATATAATAATTATAGAAAAATAAAAAATATTAAAATTTTTATACTGTACACTAATATTTATTAAATTATATTAAATACATTTTAAAATAAATTAATATTAATGATAATATAACGTGTGTAGGATCAGGGCTTCAGGTAAGCAGGTTTTTCTTGACTTCAAACACGTGTTCCACCAAAGAAAAAAATAAGTAATAATAATATACATGGCTTGAAGGGCCGCCCAAGCCCGAGCCCAAGCCCTTTTTTACAAGGCTTATCAAGGTCAGGCCCTTAAGCCTAGTTACTTTAAAAATAATAATTTTTAAAGCTTAAATCCTTATTTAAATAGAGCCTTTAGACCCGGCCTTCTAAGCCCAGCCCTTATTCCTGGCTTTATGTGCATACGAGACTAATTCAAGACTTGAGTTTTATAATCAGATATTTTGAAGGTGGTTTAAAGTTTTTTTAAGACCAAACTCTTATTGAGAGCTCTTGTTATTTGGATTTAATGCGTGAGTATTCGTAAGCTCAAGAAAAATAGGTAACTTGGGGTTTTTTCATATATGTACAAGCTTTGTATTTGATAACGAATGTGAATAATCATAAATTTAATTGTAAAAAATTTATATGTTACTTGAATCTTGTCAAACATGGTTGTGAGTGCATCTTAATAATGTTTATTTTATAAAAATTGTGTATTATTTAAGAGTAGTTTATTTCTTTCAAGCATACTTATAAACTGAGTTGATCGAATAAGACAGTTCTATTTCTTTCCAAGCATCCTTGTATGCATATAAATGTTGTATATGTGCAGTATGTATTAGGGAATGGTTGATGAGAAAATGATGATGTTGATGTATATATGAATTAGTGACCATGTGAATTGCCTCCACTACGTGCACAGTGATTGGCCTCTTTCAAAGCCCTTATTCTTAATACTTACCTGGCCAGGTTTGTAAAGAGAAAATCTGGGATAGTGACACCTCCTATTGGGTTCCTCAAGGAAGGGAGCCATAGTTTGAGTTTGAGCTCTGTACCTTTGGCCAAGTATATCTCAAGTACCGGAAAAGCTTAGTTAATCTAGCATGTGGACTAGATCGCATATAAGCCTATAGTTTCAATCAGCGGAGAAAAGATGGATGGAGTAATATAAGGGATTATTGGTATTACATATTAGCATGTTATGAGCTATATCTTAAGAAATTCTTATGTCATTATTGATTGATTCTCATGAACACTTGTATAATTGTTGTATATTTATGTGATTGGAGTTTATTCATGTATGGTTAAAACTCTGGGTTACTGAGACGTTAGTGTTCACCCCTTCTTTTAACATTTTAGGTAAGCTTAGCAGAGTAAAGGGGAATCATTTGAAAGCTTGAGGCTTAACTTGAGTAAGCTTTAAGTCTCATTTCAATTTGTAGAATAATCATTCTCCAGTACATGACTCACTTGTCATTTGATTTAATTTTTTAAAATTGTTTATTATTTATTGATAGCTGCAAGAATATTGTTATTTGAGGCCTATGGCCATAGAAATTGTATAACAAATCTATTTGGAGTAAATATTTTAGTATATAATTCTAAATCTCAAGATATTTATTAAAAACAAATTTTAGTATTTATGGAAACATATTATTTATAGTTCTAAATAATAATGGTAAACTTTTAAACCCTTGGTAGTTTTTTTAACTATTTTAATCTTTTTCTACTAAGGTTAGGGTATAAATATCTATTTATTAGACATATTTTTATAGTTATCATAGCTTCCTAAAATATAAAGTAATTCTTTCCTATCTTGCATGATTAGGATCTTGTTAGTCGTCAAAACAAGCTTAATAGAAAAGTATGTACTTGAGTCACTAGGAAAAATATCAGCAGAAATATATGTAAAAATAAGAGGTGAAGAAGATGAGAATGATGAGAGATTGGTTAGAGATGAAAACTTGATATTTTTCCAAAAGACAGCATGTCAAAAAATGTGAATACGATGAGATAGAGGATCCCAACAATGGTAACCTTATGCTCAAAATCATAACTAAGAAAACAACATACACGAGAACGAGCTTGAAGTTTGTTTGTCTTATGAGATGAAAGAAGAACAAAACAGGCACACGTAAAGACTCTTAAAATACTATAATCAGGAGGATAACTATGGAGATGCTCAAAAGGAGAAATGTTACCCATGACACGATTGATGCAAAAGATAGAGGTTAAGGCTGCTTCAGCCCAAAATGGTGCAGGCTAAGAAGAGAAAAAGGGCAATGCTCTAATAGAATCAATAATATGATGATGTTTATGTTTAGCACAACCATTTTGTTGAGAAGTATAGGGACAAGAATACTGAGAAATAGTGCTCAAAGAATCAAGAAAGCCAAGTAATCTAGAGTCACGATATTCTAAAGCATTATCACGATGAAAAATTTTGATGACTTTAGAATATTGAGTACAAATCATAATAGCAAATTTGATATAAAGTTCAAGTAACTCATATCGATATTTTATTATATAAATCCAAGTAAAACGACAAAATTCATCAACAAAAATCACAAAGTATTGGGGTCCTCCTATAAAGGGAGTAGGGGAAAGACCCTAAACATCAGAATGAATCAAATCAAATGAAGAAGCAGTAATAGAATCATTTTTATGAGAAGACAATGTGGGTTGTTTGATAGTCTGATAGGAAATGCATTACAAAAAATGATTATGAATATGACCTAAAAGACCACTAGAAATTAAATGATGCATTTTACTCAAAGAAGGTGAGCAAGATGATAATGCCATAAGTCGAGAGAAAAAATCAAGAGAAGAGGATGTGGAGGCAGCACACAATGTGGGAGCAATGGTCTTAGGTAGGTGCATTAAGGTGAGCTCGAACATACGAGCAACTTTACACCCGATCCTAACAGCCTATCCTATCTGAGAATCCATCACAACAAAACCATGTTCATTAAATAACACGTCATAACCCATATTAACAAGTTGCCAACAAAAAAAAAATGGTTAAAGCTAATGGAAGGGACAAAATATGTATCATGAATGGATAGGGAAGGCAAGAAGACAGTGCCAATATGACTAACAGGCATTTGAGAATTATTAGTAATGTGTATAGGATAAGCAGTAGAGTTAAGGGTCATAGAGGAGAAGAAATTTTCTTGACTTATCATATGATTGCAACAAGTAAAGTCAAAATACTTAGTAGATTTACTAGTGAGAGAAGATAAGGCAGTAGATAGGCTAGAGGAACTAGAGATAAGTGTGCACAGCAAAGTTTCAAGTTCAACTAAAGAAGATCCCAAAGTAGATTGAGCAAGATCACATTTTTTCAACTAAAAACAGTAATTACAATAACTTAAAGTAACAGAGATAGATTGAGCTACCTTTGAATGTTTCATTTTTTTAAAAAAAAAAGCTTACAAAAGTAAATAAAGGATAAAAAACCTAAACTAGAGATTATAGTAAAAACAGAATAACTCTTACACCAGGCAATAAATCAATGATCTAACCATTAAAAATGATGCATTGGATGTTCTATACATACTGATCAAATTTCATCACAATCTGATGGTTAATGAATCTAAAAATGCCAATTTATTAGAATTGGCTTGCAGATATGTGAAAATAGATTTGAGGTGGAACTGAACTTGTGATGAAGGATGGCAACACTGATGCAAACAAAGCTTCAAAAATTGACATATCATGAAAAAAATAATATTCTATGGCTTTGGTAACATGAAAGCCATCAAAGGTGAAAAAAATAAACAAAAAAAGATAGAAAAATGTCATATTTATTATTGATATAAACAGTACATTATATACACCAAGAAACTAGACAATACAATAATGACTAATAATTATATAGTAATATCAAATAATATTTCCTAATAATAATTGAGATATATACATAATAATAATCGAAGATATTTAGAGAATATTATAAATAACATTTATCATGCCAAACATCAAAAGATAACTATTTACATTAGTCAAGTATATATTAATTGAATATTTGTTATATTATATATGTAGCTTACGTTTGTGATAGATGATACAAGTGTAAAACGTCTTTAAACTTTTTCGTGGTACTCTTTCAAGGATCATTTTATTTAAAATATTTAAGAAATTGTGTTGAACAACATTCAAATTGTCCCAAAAAATAAACGATATTCAAATAATTAAATAAGTCACTCTTTTTAGTTAATGTGAGCAAGAATAAAAATAATAAATGTGCAAGCACAAAAATGAAATAAAAATTTGCAGACTTCAAAATCATATCTTACACAAGTTGCATCATCATAACCTTGATACAAACGGTAAAGTCCACACTCTTATTTCATTTTTTAATATGACAATTGAAATTTGCAGATGAGTATCAGTCAAAATATAAAAATATCATTCAACACTATTAACTAAAATTAACGTGAGTATTAGTGGTTCATGTTATTGAAGTGAATAGTTAAAAGTTCGATTCTCAATTATTGTGCACATTCTTTACTCTCAATACTTCTTGGAAGAGAATCTCTGCCATCAACACAGAGCTTCAGAATGTAAGACTGAACGCTAGCTTGGTATCACTTTTACAAGTAGCGCCAATTTTATGAAGAACACAATAAATACAACAAGCGTTCTAAGAATTTGCCACATAAAAATCATTCAGCTAAGACAACTTATCAGTATTTCCTTCTCCATGAGATCCACTTCAGTTTAAGCTGATACCACAAAGGGGATATTCCCAGAACACCTCGCGCAAGCCTTGGATCAAACACATCAAATTGAACCCTACTCAGAGAATCCAACAGAATCTGCGCAGGCACTGCTGGTAGAAGCACTGGAACAGCTTCAGATGGCACACTTTCAGCTAATTTCCTCGCTTTCTCTAAATGTGCATTCGCCACAGAGGCCATCTCAAAAACTACATCACAGAGACCCCCACGAGAATCCAAGCGCATTTCTTCTCTACCTCCCTCCTTAACTATCAGTCCATGTTTTGATGCCACTTTAGCCGGAATATAAGAAAAATGGCGGTTGCGACTGATATGATAAGGCAGCGATTTGAGTAGCAAGAGGATGCCACTTGCCTTACCAATATGTGAGGCCGCATGATCAGCCACTGTGGATCTGATACCACCAGCTTGAAGGGTCAAGTACAGCATAGTTGATGTTGTGTCTTCAGAATATTTCTCAAGCTCTACAATAGTTTCTGGCATGTCAGTAGCCTCTCTTCTTGCATCATTGATCCGAGCTTCAACAGAACGTTTCAACCATGTCTTGCTAAGTTTGGTTTCAGCAAGAATGGATGAAAGGGCCTGTGCTGTTGGGTGTTCAATCAATTTATTGGCATATATTTTGTCTATGGCTTCTTGCCACCATACCAGGCGCATAAGACCAATCCTGGGATCAGATGCAACATCCATAGCTCTTGCTGTTTCGACATTCAAGGCACGTAGCACAAATGCAGCCTTCCGCATCGATGGAGGGAGTTCAAGAAGACATAGATAATGATGATAGTCATAGCTTCGCACTTGTTGTACGCAATAGGAGAAAGCTGCCCTTGAGCTGCTAGATGCAGAAGCACCATTCATTAAATCTTCACCAGGGTGCCTGCAGATAAAAGCTAAATTGATGACAATGATACAAGAAAAGCAAAAATAAATTATCCGAAGCAGAATTCATGCCATGGTGAATTAGATATTTAAAATGAAAGTAACAAGTGTTTTTTATTTTTTTTTCCCCTCTTTTGGGCCAACTAAGTACCATGAAGTTAAAGAAAGAAGAGTAGAGGTGAACCAAAAAACAGAGAATAAATATACTAGTTACTACTTGGAGTGTCAAGAACCAAAAGTTCTGCATAGTGAGCTAAACCAGCCACATTACCAGCAAACATAATCAAGCCAAGCACAACCCCTGCTGATCACCACTACTGACAAATTTCATCAAGGGCTTGACTTCCTCAAATGAATGAATCATACTAGACTATGAAATACCGATACAGGTACAAGCATAGGAGACGATACGCACGATATGCAGACATAGCAATTTTCAAAATTTTTTTGTCATATAAATAATTAAATATTAAATATTTAGATACATACATATTTTTAATTTTATAATTTCATATTTAAAGTTAAAAAATATAATTTTAAAAAGTCCAACGTCATCACAAAATACAATATAATAAAGAGTCAAGCACAAGCACTTGAGCAGTAAAATGACTGATTTTAATAGGAAGAGAGCTAATTAAAATTTAAAATAAATCAAAGGTTAACTCAGTAAAATAATCTATCAAAATAAAAAAATAAATAAATCAACAACATTATTACAGTAACAATCAATAAGTTAGTAAAATTTAAACATTTCTGGCCAAAAAAACAGCAGCATTTAAAAAGGACTATTAAATATTAACAGTCAGCTATACCCAGAGAACATGGACATCGAGGACTTGAAGTTGAATATATGGGAACGCCAAATGTGAAGCGTCAAACGGAAGAACGAAAAGGCACCGGAGAAGAAGATGAAGAACTTACCTCGGACTCGGAGAGACAGAGCGACGGAATCACAGGCTGAAAAGACAGAACGCCTTGACTGAAGAATCACCGTCACTGAAGAGACAGAGCTCGAAGTGACTGAAGAGAGAGAGGGCCGTGACTGAAGAAGCGCCGTGAGCCTTGACTAAAGACGGACGATAGAGAGACAGAGCGAAGCTCACGCGAGTCGCGACGGATTTTGGGAGTGAAAGGGGAAAGGATCGACTGTACGAAGCTTAGGGCATCTGATTTCTGGAAATGACAAAAAAAACAGACCAAAACGCTGCGTTGCGGGTACAACCTGTGTGCGCCCGTGTTTGAACGTGTCCGACTGAAATTAAAAAGCGGGCTGCGACTGGATCAAAGTTTTCACAAGGTTAAAATATTCTAGAAGTAATGATTCAAGATAATTAAAAAGACATTAGAATCTTTTAAAATATATTGGTATAACCTTAAAAGATCTAAATATTTTTAGAATAATATAAAAAGCATTTGAAATATCTAGATTATTCTAGAGATAACCTTTTCTTGTATATTCTAAAATTTTTCTTGTAAATATTAAGATATTTTTTGTAAATATTTCTAAAAATAGAATGTACACCATAAGATCGAATCAATCCCAACCATCATTAAGGAGGTGGGAATTTTCTAGAGAAAGGGGAGGCCTATAAATGCCCTCTCATCCCTCATTTCTAACAACTCAAGCTAAGTAATAAAGCTCTCAAGTTTATTCACTCAAACTCTCTACTCTCTACTTGTACATATAACTCTCTAAGTTCCTTTGCCTACTTTGTGGGTTCAGTTGACTTAGTCACGATCAAGAGGTTGATCAAGCTAAAGCCAGCACGATTTAAGGAACGAGAAGTTCCAAGACCATGACAACATGGTATCAGAGTCAAGATTCGAGGGAGCCATGGTTTCAGTGGATAATCGTAGGCAAAAATGTAAGGTGTGACTGAAGAGACTCTTGCTCATGTGGAAGAGAGGGGAAGGGAATCCTAACCTCTATACCAAGATGGCAAGAAGGCACGAAGCACTAGTAAGGTACATTCAGAAGACCTTACTGTACTCTCTATAAGAATCGATGCTTTAGAGAAGGCTATGAAAGAAATGATGGGTAGAGTAGAGAACGTTGAGGGTGACATGGGTATGTTGGAGAACCACACTCTCAAAAAACTTAAAAAGGGTGAAGAGTTGTGTGGATGCCTTGCAAAACTCAAAGGATCAACGGGAGGATGCTGTGAAATCCTTTGAGGTAAAGGTGATGGAGGCTATCACCACAATGCAACAACAACTCAACACTCTCAAGACTTTCTTAAAGACAAAAGGAAGGAATCCACTATTAGATGGAAATAGTGGAATCAGGGAAGTGAGGATGGATCTTCCCAAACTCAAGGAATTTAAAGGTATACAGGATGCCCAAGAAGTGGAGAACTTCTTATGGCAGATGGATCGCTATGCCGACACCTTGGGAATAACAGATGATCAAATTAAGGTACGTACTGTTGCTTACTTTCTTACCAATAATGCAAGGTTATGGTAGTGAAGGAAGCATGCAGACATAGAGAAGGGGCTTTGTACCATCAACACTTAGGAAGATTTTAAGGAGTTAAAGAGACAATTCTATTCGGAGAACGTGGTCTATGTAGCTCGCAAGAAGTTGAAAGCTTAAACATAAAACCACTATCTTGGACTATGTACAGAAATTCACCTCTTCAACTCTTCAGATTCCAAATCTGAGTAGTGAAGAGGGTCTTTCTACTTCATTGATGAATTCAAAATTGAGCCAAGCATGAGTTGCAGCGACAATGCATCAAGACCATCTATGAAACCATTGTAGTCGCCGAGAGTTTCTCAGAGCTTCAAAGGGAAAGAGGTGAGTCTCCTAAGAATAGATTTCCTAACCCTAATCTTGAGAATGGTGGGGGAGGAAACGATAAAGGGACAAACCTTGAAGGAAAGGCGATGAATAAGGGAGACACTGGGAAGGGATCCCAGACAAAGCAGAAGGAGAAGAGAAAACTTCACTGCTTTGTATGTCAAGGCTCTCATAGGATGAAGGATTGCTCAAAGTTGGGGTCATTATCTGCTATGGTGCAAAGGCAGGAGGCACAAGAGGAAGAGAAAAATCCTAGGATAAGATCAATTCAACTCCTCAACACTTCTAAAACCCAACCTTAACAAGGCAATAGGTTGAAGCATGTGAAGGCTAAATTAAATGGGAAGCCTATCAACATCATGGTGGATACTGGAGCCGATCACAACTTTATTTCTCCAAAAGAGGCCAAGAGGGCAGGTCTCAAAGTTGAAAAAAAGGGAGATTTATTGAAAGTTTCTAATTCTCCTCCTCAACCCTTAGTTGGCATTGCTCTAGGGGTCGAGCTATGTCTTGGGGACTGGCATGGAAAGGTAGATTTCTCAGTTGCTTATATGGACGACAACAAGGTGGTACTTGGTTTGGAGTTCATGCGGAAGGTAAAAGCCTTTATCATGCGATATCATAATATATTCTGCATTCTCGAGGGAGGAGTTGCTCGCACGGTAACTTCAGAGAGTGGATTTTCACGATTATCAACCATGCGAGTATTAAAGAAGAATAACCTGTCAAGAAGGCCAAGAATGATCTCATCTCATGGGGAGATGAATCGTAACAAAACCAAGAAAAAGAAGGATCCTTGTGAGAGGAATCCTAAGTACATGAATCAAGTCAGTGACGAGGACATCACTAGATTAGGTGGGGGAGAATATGACGAGGTCAAAGTTTTCACGAGGTTAAAATATTCTAGAAGCTTTTGGAATGATCCAGGACAATCAAGAAGGCACCGGAGTCTTTGGAATATGTTGGTATAACCTCAAAAAACCTAATATCTCTAAAATAGTATAGAAAGCACTTGAGGTATCTAGACTATTCTAGGGATATCCTTCTCTTATACATTCTAAAATTCTCCTTGTAAATATTAAGATATTTCTTGTAGATATTTCTAGAGATAGAATGTATACCGTAGGATCGAATCAATCCCAACTGTCCATTAAGGAGGTGGAATTTTCTAGAGAAAGGGGAGGCCTATAAATAACCCCTCACCCCTCATTTGTAGCAACTCAAGCTAAGTAATAAAGCTCTCAAGTTCATTCATTCAAACTCTTTACTCTCTACTTGTACATATAGCTCTCTAAGTCCCTTTACTTACTTTGTGGATTCAGCTAACTTAATCACGATCAAGAGGTTGATCAAGTTAAGACCAGCACGGTTGAAGGAAAGGGAAGTTCTAAGGCCGTGACAGGGCGCTCAGCTTCTGCGTCCTGAACGTGTGTCCGTATCTGACACGGACGTGGCAGCATTTTGCACGTATCCGTGCTTCCTTTAGCGTTGTTGGCCACCAAATTCTTTGCATCTTTAAAGATTTATGCTAAAACAGTAAAATGCACTCTTTCATGATGACTTTCAATAAGTTAAGCTTGACCGATACTTGATCTTACTTTTTAAATGTCAACTTAGCCTGGTTCCTAGATTACCACCCTATTTCCCATTCATATCATAGTTCTGTTTATAGACAAAGACTGCACATGCTTTCTCTTTTACTCACACTCACATTAAGGAAATACTTAAAAGTTGAAAAAAAAAAAAACGCATGAGTATAATTAGGATAGTAGTCATCCACCTATCACTTTTTTGTGTTGTGTAACTTGGTAATACCTATCAACAGAGCAACCAATTTAATACGTATCAGTAGTATATAGAAAGTTATACCCACATGAATTTGTACAAAGAAAATCAGCTCAAGAAAGAAACTGAAAAGCCAGCCAGGTTGTTATAACTGATAGCTTACCTCCTAGTTTAAGTGAAAATAATCATTAACAACTTATATCAGAAAATGAGGTAAAATTTTGTTTACCACTATTGCTAAAATGCATTATCAAATCCACAATTAGCTTCATCTATATTCCCATATGGACAGGAAAGAGAAAACAGAGATAACATTATACAGGGCTGATATTAATGAAGACTTTATCATCATTCTCAAAAGGAGGGGCAACTGAATTAAAATGAAGTGGAAAGAGGAGAAGCCCAGTACATTCATCTTTATCACAGACTCAAAATGGATATCAATCAAATAGCCCATCCTCTATGTAACAGGCTCAACAAGTTCTGTGAGTTCAAATGAATTCCAGTAAGTTTTGTTCATCTGGTACATGTCCTTAGACATTAAATATCACATGCCTACTCTATTTCTTAAACAAGGTGCAAGGTTATGAAGTTGAAGAAACAAGAGAAGAGGGACACCCAAAAAAAAAAAACCCTGAACAAATACCCGAGTTACTACTTAAAATGTCAAGAACAAAAAGTTCTGCACAGTAAGCTAAAGTAACCAAATCACTAACCAACATAACCAAGCCAAGCACAACCCCTGCTGATCACCACTATCGGCAAATTTCATCAAGGGCTTGACTTCCTCAAGTGAATGAATAATATGCCCAAAGCAACCCCACTAAAATCCTGCTAAACAAAACCTCTTCCAAACCTATAATGACAGGGAAACACTCAACAAACATAATTATATACTGGCCAAAATAAATTATTATTTCTTTTTCTGAACCGTGTTGGTCCGCAAAGCCGGCTTGTTTTATATATATATATATATATATATATTCATTCTGCTTTTTTCTAGGGTCCATGTCCAGTGCCTGTTTGTACACCATAGCAGTTGGGTTCCCAAAAAAGGCTTCAATGAGTCAATGCTGACTATTTAATTAACCATCTCATCCAATCTGGACGAGTAGCCCATGCAAAACAATACAGTGCTTTGGCTTTTCTATAGAACTTCTAGTATATATATAATTCTCACGCGTAAAGTAAAACCCATCCAACTGGGCAGTCAGTACACTTAACACTATTTTTCATTCAAAGGAAGTGTGTTCTATATATAAAAGAGTACATATATGTTGACTTGCATACAGTAATTGCACCATCTGCTTAAGAATTGATTTGGAACTTTCAGTAAGTTCACATTATAAATTAGAAGATAGGAATTAAAATGTCAATTTAAAAGTTCATCATCCAAAAACGTAAATGAATAAAAAAATAAATCTGGTACATGTAACAGGCTCAATAAGTTCGGAGTTCAAATGAATTCCGGTAAGTTTTGTTCATCTGGTACATGTCCTTAGACATTAAACATAACATTTCTATTCTATGAATTTAACCTAGATTTTGATGCAAATCATCCTACCAGTCCCATACGAGTCATAATGTAACCGATAATGAAGCAAAAGCAAGGAATCTAACTCTTTTTACACTTGATGGAGACTTCTATGTCTTTAGTTCTCTTGCTAGCAGCAAGCTGCCTTATGAAAACCAGCAAGTCATGAATTGGTGGGATATAATCTGAATTCTCAGTAAGAGAAAATTTCTTATCTTACATGAACTATTAACTTAGATGCTGCAGGCTGCTTAATCTTGTAGTGGCTATCAAGAGCGCAACCATGGTTAATAGTCTGTGTGTGTAGAAAGTAATAGCAACAATCAGTACAACTATGATAGCATTTTGATCAATGAGTGAAAGTCTGAGCTCAGACCACTTTATATAAAGAATGAAGAGCAAGTATTCGACACAGGAAGTTAGATATGCATACTCATACATGGAAATCATGAATCACGCGACATGAGAGTTTAGATGGAGGGCGTATGGCTTTGCGGAATGGCAACAAACATTATGAAGGCATTCCAACGGATTTCGTTTCCCTCAGACATTCTTAATCACTACTGGTACAGACTATGAAAGAAATGCAGATACTTGAGAAGACAGCAAATAACAACTAAAAACACATTTCAATGAAGAACAATCGAAGATTAAAAACATGGCTCGGAAGATGTTTGCTTACAGTGTTGGGGTGGCACCACACCTCTTTTAGGACTCACGATCCATTCTTGCGGGAGAGTGAACAAACAAATAAAAGGGGGCGAAGCGGAAAATGTTGGGCCTTGGGGCCCTCTTTGCACCTCATCAAAGTTGGATTGAGATTCAACTGTGCATGTTTAAAAATTTATTCAAAAAACATATAAACTCTAATTTATAAATCATGCTGAGTGTATAATTGATTTTGAATTTTTGGATGTACAAAGATGATTGGATATTTTTAAGAAATTTTAATTTTAATTTTAATTTTATAATTGATTTAATGGGATTTTGAATATTTTCAAGAAAAATCAAAATTTTGAATTTTGACATGTTTAAATATATTTTTACAAGATGATGGTTTTGGCTTCTTAAATTGATTATACTTCTTATTAACATGCACAGAGACCTTATTCTTTTGTTTTTTTTTTTCCTGAAATGAAATCTGAAGTCTGCACTGAGTTGCTTGAACTTCATATTTTATATCAGGTTGATGCATATACATGTATAAATTGAAAATAGTTCTCGCAATTTCGGGATTTAAAGATATTAGAAAAAAAATATATTTAAAAATGTATGTGTATTATCAACTATAGAAGATTCAAATTTTATGGATAGAATCCGGTCAAAAAGAATTCATGGATATAAAAATATTTCATTTAATATTAATTAATCATTAAATTAATGGAAATGGAATCATAAAAATAAAATAAAAGTATTTGTTGTATAATTCTTGATTTGAGAGGAGGTTTACATAGATTTTAAAAATAAAATAAGAGAAACTGTAATTAAAGCAAAATAGATGATAGGTATAGTACATATTGTACCCTAACTTTTGGAAATTTATATTGGAATTTATTTGTAATTTAGGTATAGTGACTACTTAAAAATAGAAAATGACTACTTCTATTGGGCAAATGATTAAAACCTAATAGCAAGTGAAAAAAAATAGCAAAAAAAGTACTTGTAATTTATTATTAGATTTCAGTCATTTATTTGTCTAAGAGGAGTTGTCAGTTCCTATTCTTAAGTATTATCTATCCTCTATATGTTGCATTTTATTTATGGGAAAAAATGGCAAGAAGATACTTGTAATGTATTACTAGATTTTAGTCATTTGTCTAAAACAAAGTTGTCATTCTTTATTTTTAAGTAGCTCCACATGTTTCATTTTAAATTAGGAGCAAATTTGTCGTTCTGCCAAAAGCCAATATGCTAAAAAGGCCCCAAGATTACATGATAATCATCACATTTTGTAGTATTTCTTTATTAGTTGCATATTTAAGGAGTATATTTTTTTTTATCATTCTTCCTTTTTTTAAAAAATGATTAAGAGTTATTTTTATCCTTCAACTTTACCTGAATGATTAGTGAGTACCTTAGAAATTCACTCAAATAAGGGTTTAGTATGTCCCTCAACGTTAGAAATTCACTCTCTCAATACTCTTGACGTTAATTCACTATATCTTCATTGTTAATAAGCCTTACACTCCATTTTTTTTAAATATTTTTTATTATAAAATTTTGAATTAATAGTCATTTTTACCCTTCAACTTTACTTTAAATTATCAATGGCACCTTAAACTCAAATATTTTATAATTAAAATATATTAAAAAATTGTAATGTGAAGTCCACTAAAAATGAAGATAGTGAAAAAACCACAGATGATGAGAGAGAAACTCTTTAATGTTGAAGCGATAAAATTTAAATAAAGTTGAAAAAAAAAATTAACCTTTAATCCTTTAAAAAAAATGTATCCAAATTTAAATAATGTTTCAGTAACTAATTTTTTATTTAAACTTTAGTTTGGAAACTCTGGTTTGTGAAATTTTTAATTTTTTTTTTTGGTGCAACAAAATCTTAATTTTGCAAACACTAACCAAAACAACGGCTTCTCAAAATGGAATTCAATTGCAAATTACATGCAATCCAAACAGATTTGGATATCTCCACGTTTTCTGTTTCCTTTTCTTCACCTCATTCCATTTCTATCCTTTGGATTAAAAATTGCATGGTTGAGGTTTAATATTTCATAAGATTATCATTATAATATCACATAGTTAAATAAATTCAAACTAATGAAAATTGACCTGGATAATTTACACTGGTGGATTAACTTGAGCCGAAAGATTGAAAAACAGATTTTCCTTTTGCCTAAAGCCAGTTCTATCTGAGTTGAAGGGAAAATAGCTTTTCTATGTTTTTTTTTTTTAATAATTGTCATCTAACTTCACACTGGAAGAGGAAAAATGACAATAAAAAATAAATTAAAAAACTTGTAACTATTGGACAACACAAACTGTTGAAGAAAAATTGTTCCTCCTCAAGAGGAGACGAAGGAAAATAATACATTAAGCAGCAACTTCTTGCTCCTTTGAGGCGAGTTGGTTTTGGATGTGCTGAGGCACAACATCAAACTTGGCCAATTGCATTGTGTAAGACGCACGACCCTTGGTCATCCCTCTCAGTGTACTCACATACTGAAACATCTCAGCAAGAGGAACCAAGGCATCAACTACCTGTGGTCAAAAGGAAGTAACAATTGGTTAGTCCAACCCTCAGTAACAATAATGGTCCAAAAGTTATAATTGTGTCAAAAAAAAAAAAAAGCATCCATTTGGCAGGGATACGAAGATGAGATTCTTGGACTTGTAGTGAAAGCCGCAATAGTTGCATAAGATTCTGAATTTTTAATCTAAGAGGCAGTTTAGTTGCTGAAAATAATGGGAATGGAATGGATTAAAGTAATAAACACAAAGTAAATGTGGAAAGGAGATAGGTCAACCATGCTCATGAGAGGAAAAAGAAATTTAGTTCATAAAGTTGGAAATCATGATTCATAAGTTTGCGAAGGACGTGATGATTTTCACATTTGTGGTATTGGGTTTTTCCATGGAAAAAATGATAACAAGATAGATGTTCAGTCATCAACTTATCATGTTAAAATGGAGACTTTATTTTGTTTTCATTTCTTTAATCCATTCTATTCTTATCATTTCCAATAACCAAACAGCCATAAGTAAAATTTAGGCAAAGACTAAATAGGCATAATGACAACGAGGCAGCTGAATTGACTACTATCACTTACCATCAAAATTAGCATATGTACTTACTAGAGACAAACAGCCAGGTAAAGTTAACCAAAGAATTAGCATAAGTACTTTGTTGTCATCCTTCAAAATTAACAGAACAATCCAATACAGAGAATCAGGTTGATTGACATACCTTTAGGCCACCAGGTTTGTCACCAAAACTGTTGATCTGGCCTCTTCTTGAGTTGAGATCACCGATAACATCTCCTAGATGATCTTCAGGAGTAACCACTTCAACTTTCATAATTGGTTCAAGCATCCTTGGTCCAGCTTTTCTCATTCCATCCCGGAAAGCTCCTCTTGCTGCCAACTGGAATGCCAGGACGCTTGAATCTACATCGTGGTAAGATCCATCTACAAGCACCGCACGTACATCAACAACTGGAAATCCAGCAAGTACCCCATTGCACATACACTCCTCCAATCCTTTCATCACTCCAGGAATGTATTCTTTAGGTACAGCACCTCCTTTGATCTCACTCTTGAACTCATAGCCACTACCTGCCTCCAAAGGTTCAAAACGAACAGTGACATCAGCAAATTGACCTTGTCCTCCTGACTGTTTCTTGTGCACATACTTCACTTCTGAGACTTTGGAAATGCTTTCCCTGTAGTTCACTTGGGGTGCACCAACATTAGCTTCCACCTGCATTCAAAAATCTGACAGTTTAGACAATTATTTCAATCATATATAATACCAATATAAGAAAATGAAGAAGGGAGGGGAGAAAAAGGAAAAGAAATAGTCAAAAATATAACCTTAAATTCTCTCTTGAGTCGATCAACAATGATTTCAAGATGCAATTCTCCCATTCCTTCAATCACCGTCTGGTTAATCTCTTCATCCCTGGAGAAGTGGAAAGAAGGGTCTTCTTGGGCAAGCTTAATTAAACCAGTTGCCATCTTGTCAACATCAGCTTTAGTTTTGGGCTCAATGGCAACCTTTATCACAGGATCAGGGAAGTCCATGCGCTCAAGCACAATAGGACTATCAGGGTCACACAACGTTTCACCTGTAATAGTATCTTTCAAACCTGCAAGAGCAATAATATCACCTGCTAAAGCTACTTTAACATCCTCCCTGCTGTTTGCATGCATTTCCAGAAGCCTGCCAATTCTCTCCTTTTTCCCTTTGTTTGCATTGAGTACATAAGACCCTGCACTTAGCTTTCCAGAATACACCCTCACAAATGTAAGGGAACCAACAAATGGATCACTCATGATCTTAAAAGCTAATCCAGAAAACGGCTCATCATCACTTGCTTTCCTTTCTATTGTCACTTCTGGGTTTTCAGGATCAGTTCCCTTCATGGGTGGCAACTCAATTGGTGATGGTAGATAATCCACAACAGCATCAAGCAGCGGTTGAACCCCCTTGTTTTTGAAAGCTGAGCCACACAGTACTGGCACAAATTGTCCAGATATGGTTCCCTTCCTAATCAAGTTTTTGATGGTTTGCTCATCTGGTTCATTTCCTTCCAGATAGCTCTCCATGGCTTGATCATCCAAATCAACTATTGTTTCAATCATCTGGGATCGATAATCCTGAGCCAACTCTTGAAGATTGCTAGGAATATCTTCATAAGAAAACTTGGCACCTAACTCTTCTCCAGACCAAACTATAGCTTTCATTTTTACAAGATCAACAACTCCCTGAAAGTTATCTTCCGAACCAATTGGAATCTGAATTACAAGTGGTTTAGCACCCAAGTTTGTCACTATCATATCTCTTGTTCGGAAGAAGTTAGCTCCAAGACGGTCCATCTTATTAACAAAACAAATACGTGGAACCCCATATTTATCAGCTTGTCTCCACACAGTTTCTGATTGTGGTTCCACACCAGCAACACTATCAAACAAGCATATAGCTCCATCCAACACCCTAAGAGCACGCTCCACTTCCAGAGTGAAGTCAACATGACCAGGAGTATCAATTATGTTGATCCGGTGTTTATTCCAAAATGTAGTTGTTGCAGCGGAAGTTATGGTAATCCCTCTTTCTTGTTCTTGTTCCATCCAGTCCATCGTAGCTGTTCCCTCATGCACTTCTCCAATTTTGTAGTTTCTTCCAGTATAGTAGAGAACTCGCTCGGTTGTGGTTGTCTTTCCAGCATCAATGTGTGCCATGATTCCAATGTTGCGATAGTCTTTCAACAGAACAGCTCGACTTCCATCTGAGGAGAAATTTAAGAGGCCATCGTGTTTGTGTTATTTGATGCATTGTCACTTTAAAAATATGAATCTAAACTACTCTAAAATTCAATAGAATAAGAGTTCACCAGCGGCATTATGAAGATAACAACCATTTTGCTAAAGTCAAATAAAAAAAGGCCATGCTATTAGCAGTGGCCCAGTTGAAACATTCACTAAAGAACGTATATATGTTCCTTCCAGTGATTTTCTCTGGCAAAAGGAGTTCTTTCCTTTCTACAGAACTTCAAAGACAGTCATACAATATAACTTTATGAAATTCCAGGTGTACCTAGAAATTTCAAACATGATTGACATTTTACGTCCACAGAACGGATAAATATATCAAACAAGATTACATGACCAAACATAAAAGATTCAAGTTACTGACGATGAGAATAAGTATGAAGAAAGAGGATCATAATGAACAACCTAAGGTAATCAGAACCATTCACTTCAAATCGTTTCATAATTCAAGTTAGATAAATAAAGCAGAAACGAAGGCCAGACATCCCATAAAATTAATCAAATATCCAAGCAGAATAGAGAATTGAAAGAAAAATTAAGGAGTTCAAGCATGAAAGATGACTGAAACCAGGGAAACAGACCTTCGGCGGCCATGGCGAAAACAGACAAGTTTCTTCTGCTCCGGTGGCGTAAATATGAGAGCTGGGAAGATTTAGACTTAATTGGAGAAGCTCCAAAGAACTGAGAAAGAGAAGAAGAAGTGAGAGAACGAGAGGGTAGAGGGCGAACAGCCATGAAACGAAGTGGATAGATAGAGGTTGGCTTCCTCTGAGAGCCATTTAAATTGCGTAGAGAGGAAGCTGAAGCTGAGGTCGCCGTCGCTCTGAGAGACTCCATCGCCATATTGCCGGAAAAGATTGCTTTTCGCTGATTGTGTTGTTGGCTCACTCCCCCTCTTCCCCCTCTTGCTCTCCGTTCGGGTGGCTCAAGGGATAACGATATAGTAAACGAGCAAGCTTGAGACCTTCTATTCACCCAAGCAATCTCGAGCGTTCATTTTATTCTTTTTTCTTTTCATTAAAATAATTAATAATTAAAAATAATTAAAAGAATTATAATTACAATGTTCACCCCTCATTCAGAAGAAACCACGGAATCACTTCAGGGCCCTGGGACATCTTTTTTTTTTTTTTTTTTTGGGTGATGGCCTCACGTATATTTATAATTTATAATTTTATAATTAGTTTTCCGTTATTTGTTTTCAATGGAGGCAGACTAGAGCAACGTGGAAACAGCTTAACCAGGAGCACTCAAGGCTGCTACTGCTTCAGACATTTCCATGAGTCTTAGTTTTAACTTCATCAAACAAATTGGAGATTATGCTAGCCGATCTGATTTTCTGGATTGTTGAAGTTATCTCCGTTCTCTGAAGGACTCTGGACAAGAAAATTGATTTTCTAAAGGGATTCATTATTTTAATCTATAGTATTTAAAATATAAGAAACTCTATCATTCATTATGCTCACAAGCTTGATCTTTACCAAGCTATTTTGAATTATCTTCATTCATATTTCTTCCTAAAACATGTTTGTCAACGAAATTGATATGGATGCATGTGGAATCAGTGCCTCTAACGGCTCATCAAGATTGTGGAATCTATTGGGAGAATGACAAGTAAGGGCCATAATGAGATTAATGTCAAATTAAGATTTTTTTTTCAAAATTTTAGTATTGAAATATAAAAGATGAGTATTAAATTTAGGAATTTTAGTTGTAAAGAGATCCTAACTTAACATTAACATTTTTTTAGGGTCCTAATTTTTCTTCTCCCTAAGCTGGTTATAACTTATAAACTATATAGCTTTTTCATAAAAGAAGAATGTAAATGAAGGACCTGTAAAAGAATTTAATATCTGATAAGGATTTAGACGGATTGAATATTTTTTAAAATTTAAACTGTACTTATTAATTGTTAATGCTTACTAATAAAAAGTTTTTATTAGATATTAAATTCTTTCTAGAGTCTTTCAATGATATTTTCATTATAAATTTATAAATACATTGATATTGATGATTATTATTATTTTTGGCATACTGATGATTATTATTTTTTAATTTTCATCAGAGATACAAAAAATTTATTGTAGAATGATCAAATTTGAAATTATGAAATATATATATATATATATATATAATATTAATAATGCTTCAAATACTATTTGTTTTTTTTGGGCAGAAAAATACTACTCTCTCCTTTTAAAGATATAAGGTATTTTTTAAAGGGTTGAAAGTTAAAAAATATAAAGTATTTTTAATCTTTCAAAGTATAATCATTATCTTTTTAAAAAAATATTCATATTAAATAAATTATTTTATATTTATTTTAAAGTAAAATACTTTATTGAATAAGGATAAATATAAAAAGATATAATTAATTTAAAAATAAATAATTATTTTATTAAAAATAAAATTTAATTAAAAATATTTTATATTTTTAAATGAATGAAAAATTTGTTAATGTTGAGCAAGACCAGAGAACCAACGAGCGGCCGTAAAGCAATGAGAGAAAACACACATGTGGAGCGATCTCATCCTGCGGTTGAATTTTATTTTGATTTATTTTTCCTTCTCTTAATTCCTCATAAATTTTCCTCCAAGCTCCAACAGTGACTCGTGTTTTGGATAAGCCGGCTTGACTTCCAAGTTGTTGTAATCCCAGTTAATATTACCTTCTGCATTACCAGGGGTTGCCTTTTTGCTACTGGCCAAGAGTGACAGGCTTGTCGCCCTTTAACCCAATCTCTGCCTTAATAAAATAATTATTTAATTTTAATTTAATTTAATTTTTTATTTTTTTTTTTTTATTAAATATTTTATAATAAATATAAAATTATTATTAATATGATACTTTTAAAAAAAGATAATAATTATATCTTAAAAGATTAAAAACGTCTTATATTTTTAAATATTTAACTCCTCAAAAAATTACTTATATTTTTTAACGAATGAAGTATATATTCTTCTTTAATGATTTATTTTATTAATAAGACTAATATGTTTATCCTATGCAAAATTGCAATAAAAAGGTGGAGCAATATAAATAGAAATATTAATATAGATGTGTGGACATATTAAAAAAGTAAAATTCATAATAAATATATAAAAGAAAAAAATAGACATGGCATCCATTAAAAAAAGAAAATAAAAAATTATTTAAAATGATTTGGACATATACTACTAAGAGAGTAAGAGGCAAGTTGGTGAGGGTTAAAGAATAAAAATACCTACCAAATTTTTTTCCAAGGCATCCAATATTTTCAAATGAATAAAGATGCAAGAATCTACATGAACTTATTATAATAAGTGCAATAGTCCATATTCCATTAAATTGGTCCATTAACATTGACCGTTAAAAAAAAAAAAACAAACATAATGTGCAAAAATTCCCTTAAACATATTTTTTCTAGGAGCTTTGGTATCCAAAAGTCAATAATGGTGTATAAACACCCATTAATTTTATAAAATAGGCCAATATTTTCTAAGATGTTAAGTTCTATTATTAGAATTTCAAGATCAATGTCATATTATTTTAATTGATTAAAAAAATTAGAGTCAATAATATGAATCAAACTCGATAAGTTAGTTTAAATAAGTTTGAAAAATTTTAAAATCGAACTTAAAGTTTAGAAAACTTTATTTACTTCAACCTTATTCAGCTACCAAAATAAGCATGAACAAATTGGGCCAAATTCAAACCTGAATGGTTTTAATTTGAATACTCAAATTATTTTTTATTATCAATAAAATAAAATTAAAATTAGATAAAAATTGAAAATCTTAATTTTTTAATTTAAAAATTAAAATTGATTGAAAAAATAATAAAAATAAAATAATACTTAACAATTCAGGTATTCGGGTCATCTCAAATGAGTTTAAAAGTTTGAATTGTTAGGGTTAAGTTAGGCTATATTGCTTCTTTTCTTTTATAAAGTTAATGTCCATGTATCATTATTGACTCAAAATACTAGAAGTTTTTTAAAGAAAAAATTTATGGATACTTTTATATCTTACAGTTGCTTTCTTTTTTTAAACAAATAACATTAACGGATATTAGTCAAATTTAACGAAATGAGATTGTTACACTTATTATCAAAAATTCGTAAGTATCCTTATGCCTTCTTCACTTAAAGGTACTGAGTGCTTATCAAGAAAAAATTGTTGGGTATTTTTACCCTTTAAACCAAAACAAAAATTATAAGAACTTAAAGATTAGCCTAATGTCACGGGCTGAGAGTCTGGCGCAGCACACAGCGCCCGTGCGGCGTCTTGAGAACCCATAATCCCGAGACAAGCATTACCACATACGAATCACACTGGTTTCGCCCTGCCATGGGCTCATCAGGGAGGTGGTACTAGCCCCCGATCAGTTGTGTACTTAGCCCGAAAACTAAGGCAGAATGCACTTAATGCTAATGTCACCCTTTACTCATATTGTGCGAGGCTAACCAGCGGATCGTTCATTATATTGTTGTTTACATGGTCATGAAGATATCATTCATGACATTGAGCTTTTATGAATAAAGCTTATATTATAAAGATAAGGTCTAAAAATTTTTTATACTAAAATCCCCCATTGTTTCAAACCCAGCCCCTCCAAAAATATAGAACCTAAAATGGTCGCCTACGATGCCTGCCCTTGCAACTTGCAAACACAAGACTTGCAGCCAAACGAATATGACCCAATGCGTGTAAAAATTCCATTTGCCGATAAGAGAAATTTTAAGGGGAAGATTGTGGCATGTTACCTCAACATAAACCGTGTCTGATTTATCTGGCGGATTTATCATTCTCTTTCACTTAATATTGTGCTTGGCAGAAAAGAAAACAAGGGAAAAAGAAAAGTGAGGGCAAAATTTTTTTTTTCCTGCTTGACTATAGAAAAAAAGTAAAAAAAAAAAGTGGAAGAAAAATAACATATAAGACCTACATATTTTTATCTTTAATTTTTCTCTCCAAATATGGAGAGATTTTGGAGAAAAATTTTTATTTTCAAATTTACCCACCAATAACATGTAATTACATTTTGATCATGGACTTTTGTTAAAGAAGCAATATATATAATTTTTAGATTAATTAGACAAATGTTAATTTTAAATTTTAAATTAAATTCCTTGTATTTAGTTGTAGTTTCAAAATTTTAAAAATATATTAATATTTATTTAATAATTTAATAAAGAAAATTATAAATTGAATAAAATAATTTTTTGATAAAATAATTTATAATTGTATTTATATTCAATCAATAATATATGATAGAAATTGTTATATATATAATATGTCAAAATATTAAATTTTATTATATATAAATATTTTTATAAATAATAATGCTGTTATTGTTCATATAAAACTAATAAATTTTCTCTTTTCTCTATTTTCTTTTGCTCAGCCAAGCATAGCAAGAAAAAATTGCATCCTATCACTTTTTTTTTTTGTCTCTTCATTTTCTCTCCTTTTTATTTTCTTCTATGAGCCAAGCAAAGCGTAAAAGGTTTTTTAAATTGTATTCATGCGTTTACTCAAAGTCATATTGAATCCCTTTCATTCTCTCGTGTATTTAAAACTGCCAGTAAGCATTGAGCAACTCCTCACCTACCACTGAATTTCACAGATCCTGCAAGCACTTAAACAACTTATAGTAAAATATAACAAAACAACCTGAAGCAAGAAATTTAAGAAAGATAATTTTAATGGAAATACTACCTACAAGAGCCAGCTTTAACCCTGCTTCTATGTCCTGGAGCATCTAAAACATAAATGTTGGCTTACTCCTCTTTAAATAATAAGAATTAAATTGATAATTAAACAAATATAAATAATCAAATTGATAAAAAAAATTAAATTTGAAAGACTAAATCAATAATTGAGATAAATTTAAAAAACTAAAAGTTTCAAATCCGCATTGGGTGCTCATCACCCCAAGGGTAATCTTAGCCATTCATTTTATTTCAAATGATCTCTGCCATTGATTTTTTAAAATTGTTTTTTAAAATATTTTTAATATTATATTTATCAAAAGAAATATATATAAAAATTATAATAAAATTTTAATATTAAATATGATAAGTTCTCTATGCTTATCAGAGGATGCACGCTATGGTACTCATAACCTCAGATAAGATATAAACAATCTAGATCTAAGCTTCTAAAAAATTTTATATTTATTATAATAAAAATGTATAAAATATATAAATATTTAAAAATTCTGCTTATCATCAATCTTATCTGTATAGATTTAATTTAAATGATCAAATTTAATATTAATTTTTTATAATTTTTATAAGTTGACTATCTAGATATAAGGATGGTACATATACAATCTGAACAGTCATTTTAATATTAATAGTTTTTACAAATTGACTATTTATATATACTTTGAATAATCTTTATTTAATATTAAATTATTTTATAATTTTTATATTGATAAATATAATATTAATATTTAAAAAATAATTTAAAAAAATCAACAGCTAATGTCATTTGAGATAAAATAAAAGGCGAATATAACCTTTTGGGATGATGAGCGCGAATCCAAAACTTTCATTATTAAAAAAAAACCAAAAACAAAAACAAAAAAAAGAAACCAAATTTTCTTTTGCCGGCTAGAGGATTTTGGGCGTGAGCCCAATCCTAGAAATATGGCTCTTTTCTTTTTGCTGGGCCTGAGGAAATGCAGCTTGACATTATCAATTTATTGAAATGAGTCAAATACTTCAGTCAAACTTTCCCGTATCTTTCTTTCTTTCTTTCTTGCCTTTTTTTTTTTTTGGGGGATACATTTGTGACATTTGTCAGGGTTAATGACAGAGAAGTCCTTTTAATTTAGCTCAGGTTTCAAATTTTAAACTTCAGGAATTTATAAATTTGTTTATTAATTTTACAATTTCATTATGATAAATTTAAAAACTTATTTTTTAAATTTTAATATGATTGAATAATAAATAAATTTATTTTTTGTGTTAAAATTTAGAATATAAATTATAAATTCATCATGAAAAAATTAAAAAATTAAAATCTGAATTATAAAGTTTTGAAATTTGAGACTTGAAATTTAAATTAAATTAAAATAACTTCTTTATCATTCTCTCTATTTGTTATGCCAGAACTGAGAAGACCATGGACTTGTCAAACAGCAATGAATGTTCCCCTTCAACAACATTTAACTAAATTTTACTCCATCCATTTAAAAATATAAAGTATTTTTAATTAAATTTATCCCTCAATAAAGTAGTTATCTATTTTTCAACTCACCCTATCTTTTCATATTTATCTCTATTAAACACCCTATAATAAATATAAATTTATTATCAGTAAGGGCACTTTAAAAAAACAATAATTATACTTTAAAAAATTAAAAATACCTACATTTTTTAAAATACAACTTCTCAAAAAATACTTTATATTTTTAAACAGAAGAGTATTCTATAATATATTTTACTACTGAATTTGCGGTACCCCTACACTTTGTGAATAGATATTACAATAACAACAACAAAGTACAGACGTTATCTTGCAAGTAAGATTATAAATGGCAGAACACCGTTATAATCTATCTACAATTAAGTATTCAAATACATCATTTGTCAAGAGATATCATTTTATTTTTTTAAAAATATCTTTTTTTTTTCTTGAGAGAATAATAGATGGATCTTAAGAGGATCAATTAATTTAAATGAGATTTCAAGTGTCAAACTTCAAGAATTTGTAAGTTTGGTTAATTCTGTTAGAATTTAAAATACAAGTTGCAAATTCATTATAATGAAATTGTAAAATTGAAAGATAAATTTATAAATATAAAATTTGACACTTGAGATTTAATTTAAATTAATTAATCTCTTTGGGACCTCTTAATCATTCTCTCTTTTTTCTTACATACAAGTATTATTTTATTGGAGACATGGTTGGGTATTAAATATCAATATTAATTCACTTCTATACCTCTTTATATGAATAAATCATTGACACCACTGCTCGTTTTCTTGATGTTTATACAAGTTTGAGTGATTTTTTATACTCTTTTTTTGCCTTCATTAGATGCCATAGTAACTTTCTCTTACCAATAAATTTTTAAAATGTTTCATTTGGTTCTAAACGTAAGATGCTTTATAAAATTTAGTAAAATATTCTATAATTATTTTTAAAAATGGTCACATGTCCAATTAGTTCATTAGAATGAATTGTTTAATTTTAATGTTAAAATTACAATTTAATAATTTTAATTAATGGTAATTTAATAATTTTATAATAATTTTGTTTCAAAAATTTAAGAGTGTTAATTAATTTTAAACTCATTTCTTTCTAACATGTGTGTGATTTGATTAAAAGTATTTTACAATATGGAGAAGTATGACTTATCACCATACCGTTGATTGGCTGGCGAAAAAACTCAACATGAAATCATGAATGACGATGAGATAATCATCATAGAATTATCTAGAGCTAGTAATTACCGTGGGCGAGTCAAATTCAAATATATTTTTTTAATATTATTTTGAGATATTTTGCATATAAAAGTATAGAAATACAAACAACATGAATTTTTTCAATTTTTTTTAAAATATGTATAACAATATATGCAAATTTACATAGGATCTCTTAGTATAAAATAAAAATTAATTAATATTTAATTGATTTGATTAGGAATATTTTAGACCTTACAGGTTAATCCCCCCTTTTTTTTTCCTTTCAATTTTCTCCTTAAAACTATGCCTTCCTTTGCATTAAAAAGAAATTATACTGATCTCGTTTTCTTCTATATGTTCATAACCATTTTAGTGGACTCTGCCCCTATTTCTTTGTGGTTTTTGAAATTAAATTTTCTAAAATTAAAATTAATGAATTTCTATGAAATTTTTGATCCTCATGTTCACTTAGTTATACTCCCTTTGTTAAAAAATATTTAAAGAATTAGATGTTAAAAAATATGAGACATTTTTAATATTTCAAAATATAATTATTATCTTTTTTTAAAATACTCTTATTAATAATAACTTTATATTTATTATAAGGTATTTAATAGAAGTAAATATAAAAAAAAGATTAATTTAAAAGTAGGTAAATACTTTATTGAGAGATAAGATTAAATTAAAAATACTTTATATTTTTAAATGGAGAGAATACTTTAAAAAACATAAAATATTCTCTCATTTTTAATTCATAACTTTGATTACCTACCTCAACTTAATGATATTTAAAAAAAATTAAAGCACACATTTAATTTTTTAATTTTATATAATATTTTATTTTAATTCTTTAATTTTATGAAGTGTTTTTTTAATCCTTTAATCATAATATTGTTAATTTTATCCTAACAAATTTTTATATTTAAATTTTAAATATTAACAAAATATTCTTAAATATTTACATATTTAATTTAATATTTTTAAAAATAATAATAATAAATATAAAAAATAATAATTTAAAATTAACAACATTAAAATTAATGATTAAAATAATACTCTATAAAATTAAATCTTCAAATTAAAATTAGGGTTAAAATTATATTTTAATTTAAAAAAATTCCGACTATTCCATTTATACAAATTTTTAACCTTTTTTTGTGCTTTCGCATCGGGCAGCAAGTCTCGAATATCACAAACGTTTCTTTCATTCTTTCTTTTCGAGACTCAAAAGTAGGAACATAACATTAAGTATTAACTATGTGCAGCGCAGTGCTATTTTTCCATTAATTAATTACTCTACCCCTTGTGTGGAGTGTGGACCCTATCTTCTTTAACCAGTTTTCTGCGTTTTCCAGGTAGCCTGATCATACTCTATTTTGAGAGGTTTTGTAGTTCATGTTCATCCTAATCATCTAAACTTTCATCGGAAAAATAACATAAAGGTACAAGAATCCATTAATTTAAATTAAATCAAACCAAGTTTCAAGGTGTCAAGTTTCAAAAATTTATAAATTTAATATTAAATTTTAATTTTATTATAATAAATTTATAATTTGTATTTTAAATTTTAATATAAAAAAATTTATTTATTTTTAAATTATATTAAAATTTAAAAAAAATTATAAATTCATCAAAATTGAATGTTAAATTTGTAAATTCATAAAATTTTGCACTTTAAAATTAGGTAAGACTTAATTTAAATTAATTGATCTCTTCAGGCTTATATGTCATTCTCCCATTTTCATTTTACAGTGACAAACTATATATTTAAGTATATTATTATATATATTTTTTCTTATAAAATTTAAAATATTTATATTATTTTTAATTTGTAAAATGTCTTAAAATAATATTGAAAATGTATTTTAATTTTAATTTTTAAAATTTGAAACTTAAAATTTTCATAAAAAAATTGGTATTCTATATTTTTTAAGTATTCTAATAACAATAATTAAATTTAACGTAAAAATTAAAATTTGTTTTCCAAAAATCATATTCAAGCCCCCTCATATATGCCTGATTTAAATTGAGCTGAACTAGCTTGGGTTTTCATCTCTTACCAACCCACATGATTTGAGTTAAGTTGAAATATTCTCGGATCACATGAAAATAAGTTGAGCTCTCGTTCCTTTCCAACCCATGTGAAATTCATACCGTTGAGAGGTTTTTCACTTTTTCTGTTGATGTTCATCCAAATAATAATCATAATTATTAATTATCCTTTAAATTAAGATTGTCTGTGGACTGTGACATAGGAAATCCACTGCGAGACCAGATTCAGTCGCCTTGAAAGCAGAGAAAGTTCATGATTCCCAGACCAAAAGGAAACTTCAAAATAAACAAGCCGAAAGGATGACAACAAAAGCAAAACAACTAATTCATAGTCACTGAACTAAGAAACAAGCCTTGAAGCTGAAGATCTACTATTACAACAAAAGTAAAACAGAACACTACAAACAACAAAAACACATACATCAAACAGGAAATCAAAACCTTGAAAAACCCAAAACCTCAGTTTATAAAGCTCGAATATATTCATCACAAGATTCCCATAAAAAACTCTTAACTTTTTCGATGACTTGAACTTGAAGCGAAGCGATTAACCAGAGCAAGTGCATTACTAGTGACTTGAGCAACATTCACAACCCTTAGCTTAATATTAGCCTTGAGATTCTCATCAAAACGAGGACCAGCAAAGCCATCAAGACACGTGTCTTGGTCAGTGAGAGCAGCACTAACCCAAGTCTGAACGTTGCTCATATGCGTCACGAACTCCTGACCACCGGCTTGACCGGTTCGGCCAAGCTCATGAACCGATCGGCGAAGACGGTCCAGGCTATCAGCCATGTTCTCGATGCAGTCTTGAACGGCTCTGTGTTCTCTGGACTTTTTGATTCTGGTTGCTTGGCCGAGATTGTGGACGAAGGAGGCACATGATTGGGTTCTGGAGATGCTGACGGAGAGAGCAGTGATGGCGAGTTGTCGCTGGCTATGGCGGATCACGGTTGCGTAGCCGGAGAGGCATTGAACGCAGAGAACAGGGTAGCGAGTGGCTCTGCAAGAGGATTTGATGAAGTCTGTTGTTGGGTTGGAATTGGAAGGTCTTGCTGTGGCGGATTCGGAGGTGTGAATAATGATGAGGAGGTTCAGAAGCAGTAGAGAAGTCCCAAATCTCGCCATGTCTGACTCTGAGTGAGAAATGAAATATCGAATATGTACAGATTTCGCTCTGATTCATTCTTGTCGCTTCCTTATGTAAAGAAAACTGCGGTGACGGTCGGATGGTCACACTCCCCAACAACAACAATAATAAATAATAATAATAATAATAATAATAATAATAATAATAATAATAATAATAATAATAATAATAATAATAATAAACAACCTTATTAAGGGTTAATGAATAAATAGAATTCTGAATTATTATTTAAAAAATTTTTTAATACTAAACTCTTAAAATATATAAAATAAATTTTAAATTTATAATAAAATAAACTTAATTATTAATTTTTTAATATCATTACTATTATGTAGATACTATTTAAAATTTATTTTCCTACAAATTTAACTATTTAAAATTTATTTTTAACACTGTGTGGGCAGTAACAGTTTTAAAAAAAATTAACGATCAAAATTTATTTTATTATAAATTTAAAAATTTAAAATTCATTTTATATATTTTAAGAGTTTAAAATTTAGGGTGATTTTAGAAAAAGAATTTAAAATCATATTTATTCATTAACCCTATTAAAAAAAGCAAGTACTCCATCGTTATTTTTTTGAAAAATGAAAGAAATTGTTTTTGATATGTAAATTATAATAAGGTATTGTGAAATATTTTTTTTTAAGTTCCTTGCTACCTTTGTAACATTAATAATTGAAATTAAAATAATAATTGTTTGATTCGTTTTAGTTATTTCTAAAAACAATTCTTACTTAAATTAAATTAGTTATAAATATTTACAATACTAAAAATTTATGAATAAAAAATTTACATAGAAAAATTGTAACTGTTTATTTTATTTTAGTCATTAACAGAAGGAGAGCAGTGATTGTTTAAATTAAAATAGTCATAAATATTTATAATATTTAAATTTCAATGAATACAAAATTTATACAAAAAAAGTTCTAATATCTTGTTTCATTTTAGTTATTGCCAAAAGAAAAGTAATTATTACTTAAATTAAAGTATTCTTGAATATTTACAACTCTTGGATTTTAATGAATAAAAAATTTTCATGAGAAAGTTATAATTGCTTATTTTGCTCCATTTATTATCAGAAAAAAATAGTTATTACTTAAATTAAATTAATAATTGACATTTGTGTGTGTGTGTGTGTTAGATTACTCTCTCCATTAAAAAATGCAAGATATTTTTAACTGAATCTGACCGTCAATAAAGTAATTAGTTACTTATTTTTTAATTAACCCTATCTTTTTATATTTATTCTTTTTAAATATCCTACAATAAATATAATGTCATCAGGGATACTTTAAAAAAGGTAATTATTACACTCTGAAAGATTAAAAATGTCTTATATTTTTGAACATCCAACTTCTTAAAAAATACTGTACATTTTTAAATGAAGGGAGTATTACTTTTTTATATTTTAAATTAAGAATTTTAGTTATGTTATCAAAAAATTATCAATATCAGAAAAATCTTTAAGAATTTGAGAAGAATTATAACATGTACAAGGCGTTATTGTGCGCATATTTTAGAGTTTTTTTCTTTCTTTTTTCTTGCTTTGTAATTCAAATACTTTTTCTGAAATTATAAATAGTTCTAAAATCAACTAAATAATTTGTTTTAAAAAAGAAATATAATTTTTAAAAATAATATTTATTTAACAGGAAAAATAAAAAAATATATATTTAAAGAATAAAATAATAAAAGGTAATTTTTAAATAATATTTATTAATGAGTTATAAATTTGCTTTTTAAATTTTCTGAATTATTATTTTTCTAAAAGCATTTTTCTCTGCTTCTTAAAAAAAAAGGCTTATAAAATGAAGAAGAAGGAGCATTTATTGCGGCGACAAAAAAGCAGCACTTGTTTATTACATCTAGACTCCTTATTAGTTTATTACATATGTATATTTTCAAAAATATTACAATTACAAGTATAACACTCCGATATACTCCCTCCGTTCTTGTATACAAAAAGTTTTTTAAATTTTTTTATCTTTAAATATAAAAAATTGTTAACATATTTTTTTAATAAATTAATCATTATATCTTTATTAAATTTAAAAAAATAAGTATTTTCATTAATTTACTTTTAAAAAAGATATTTATTTATATTTACAATAATTAGAGGTAAAATTAAAATATCGTCATACTTTTAATCAGATAATCAACTTTTATTAATTTATATAATTTGATTAAAAATATCTTATATATAGAGATGAATGGAGTATTAATTATCTTTTAGTGGAAGTGAAAGAGACTAATTCCTCACACCTTAGTGAATTAAAGTTTAAATCTCTATTAAAAAAAATGCCTATATTCAATATTCGACCTTACATCAAACTGGACTATACTGGTGCTAAAAAAAATTATCTTCTAGAATAATTTATAGTCCTATATATTAATTAAGAAAAACAATAAAATCCCTTCGAAATATATAAATAATAATTTGATCCCTTAAAATATTATAATTTTTCTGAAATCTCTAGAAACTTTTCTATCATTAATAAATTTATATAAATTACTAAATTATTTTTTTAAAAATAAATAATTCATAACTTTTCTTTTTATATTTATAACTTTCTTTCTTATATTCGCAATAATGCAACTGCAAATAAGAAATTTAACATACAAAGTTGTGATTTGCCATTGCATTATTGTAAATTTAAGAAGCAAAGTTACACGTATAAGAAAAAGAGTTGTGAATTATTTATTTTTAACAAGAGCAATTTAGTAATTTATATAAATTAATTAATGACATAAAAGTATCTAGAGATTTTAGAGAAATTATGATATTTTGAGAGACAAATTATTATTTATATATTTTGAAGGAATTGTGTTATCATTTTTCCTATTAATTATTGAGATAATTTTAATTAAGGATTAGAAAAGAAAAATATTTATCAGTTGGTCCCAAAAATATGAAAATTCTTTGCAAGTTTTTTGGATTGAATTGAAACAAAATTGATAGCTGAAAAGGCTAAAATATCTTTTTACAAAATTAACAAGTAGAAACATTTTTTTTTTTGTGAAGTACGTGAATGTCACATTAGTTATTGATTCCTTTATATTAGTTGTAAAACCTTTGAAATGATGCTGCACAATAGATGTGGCAAGTTTATTTTGAAACTCCTTAAAGTCAATTGCATCATTTGATTATTATCTAACTTTATTTATTAATTGCTTATCTATATTTGTTAATTTTATAATAGTACTTGTTAAATAATTAGTTAGTTAATTCTGTGACTTCATAATCTTAAAAATTTTAATTATTAATTTTTATAACTTTATTTGTTAATTTGTTAATATAATTTATTAACTACTTAAAGTGACTTGTGAATCTTTTACAAGACTTGTTCACTTAATTTGACTGAAAAATATGATTATTAGTTATTAATTTTTTTATTTCACTTATTAATTTATTAATATTAATTGTAAATTACTTTTTTTTTTGCTGAAAGTTGTAAATTACTTGACTTTATATGTTAATAATCATATTAGTTTAATCATTATTTGTCCAAAATACAGAATCATTAATTATTAATTATCTAACTTTTACTTGTTAATTTATTAATATCAATTATAAATTATATGACTTTATTTAGCAATAATCATACTAGTTCAATCATTTTATCTGAAATGCATAAATTATTAGTTATTAATTTTTTAACTTTTCTTGTTAATTTAACAATATTAATTGTCAATCATATTTTCTTTCTTTTATAAAAGGATACTTCAGTCTTCTCAATCACTAATTTTATTTTAGTTCACTTCAAAATACTTGTAGAGAATTTTTAAATTTTTTGAAAACCCGCCGATCAATATTTATCTTCCGTAGTCTTTAGTTCAAATTCTCCCTTAATTATTTTGCATAAAAGGTGAATCATTAGTTCATTTTATTTTAAAAATTACTTTTATTTAAAACTACCTAGGATTTTTTAAAAAAATTATGCTTTTAAATATACATAAACTTGAAAAGTCCATTTATTTATAAAGGTTTCAAATTAGCATACTCTATTTAAAATGGCCAAGGTTTTTGGTCAAAACTTCAAAAAATTAGCGTAATATTAAGTTACTATTTTTTAATAATATTTGACAATATTATTATTTTTAATTTATTGTTAAAATTACGGCATGGTTATTTTAATGTGATTAGATAAAATTGCGTTAAATAATAAAAAATTGGCATGAACACATACACTAATTCTAATAACAAAGTTATCTCCTATAATTAATTATTCATTGTTGGGAGCATTATTTCAAAGACAGAATAAGGAAGAAAAATGGTAGTTAACATCCTAAAATTTCACAATGTCAAATAAAGAGACATCGCATCAAATGCCCAACTCGGAGTTGAGTTAGTCTCTAAGTAGATCTCTTTTCTAAGAGTCAAATGCACAAATTGGAGTTGGTACTAAACTATCTCCAACCTTGCGTCTCTGAGCCACAAAATAACTGGTTGGTCTCCTCAATCAGTAAAGAAGAATTAAAGCAAGCTCTCTTTCAATTGGGTGCAACAAAGGCACCGGGGCCTGATGGTTTCAAAGGACATTTCTGTGAATCATCCTGGGATGAGGTCAGTGACTCTCTCTTCACGCTTGTAAATAATATTTTGTTCAATGATGAGGAGCCTGTAAATTTGAATGAAACCAATCTTGTACTGATTCCAAAGATTGAATGCCATGAAATGGTAAGCCAATTTCAGCCTATTAATTAGCTTATACAATTTTGCCTTCAAAGTTCTATCAAAAATTCTGGCCAATCGTTTTAAGGGAATTTTGGGAGATAGTGTATCATCTAATCAGCGTGCTTCAGAGTTACCTCTTCGCTTAACAAACGAGGAGGTGATGTGATCCATCAATCCTAGAAACACAAATAAATCTTCAAGATACCCTTGGTAAGTCCACGAGCAAAACGAACGATCCTTATTGACAATAGCTCGGGAAAGTTCCAGGCAGTCTAATTCAATCTCCTCTTTGGAATTACTGAACTTAGCAGCCAAAGAGACAGCTTTCTCAAAAGCATAAAAAATTTTGACGTGAAGCTTGAATCAGCAGAAACCGAACCTTGCCATCCTTGAATAAACTCTC